AGATTGCAACAGTTCGAGATTTAAAGAATTTAAGTTTTGAAAGCTTTTCAGATTCTGAGATTTTAAGACTTTGAGAATTTAGGAAGTTCATATTTTTAGATTTTAACATCTGAAGATTCAAAGATATTCGGGTTTTAAGAAGTCAAGATTCGAAGACTTTAGGATGTTTATATTTTCAGATTGTAAGATTCGATCTTCTAAGGTTGTAAGTTTAAGATCTTGAGGTTTCAAGATTTCCCAATTTCAAGAGTAAGAGTTTAAGACTGTAGGAATTTTATATTTTTAAGAGTTTAAGATCGCAAGATTCTAAGACATAAGGGTTTCAAGATTTCAAGATTCGAAGACTTTAGGATGTTTTTTATATTTTCAGATTTTAAGATTCTAAGTTCGAAGATTTTAAGATCTCGAGATTCTAAGATTGATTCTTAGATTTTAATTTAAGATTTTAAGAATCTAAGACTTTAGGATTTTGAGATTTCAATCCAGGCCATTTTCCATCCATTTTCCATCCACTTTAAGATTTTAAGATTTTCAGGTTGCACGTTTTCGGCAAAGTTGGCCCGACTTAGGGGACAACATCCCCAGCATCCCCCGAGACTTTAGGATGTTTTTATATTTTCAGATTTTAAGCTTTAGGATTTTGAGATTTCAATCCAGGCCATTTTCCATCCATTTTCCATCCACTTTAAGATTTTAAGATTTTCAGGTTGCACGTGTTCGGCAAAGTTGGCCCGACTTAGGGGACAACATCCCCAGCATCCCCCGAGACTTTAGGATGATTTTATATTTTCAGATTTTAATTTAAGATTTTAAGAATCTAAGACTTTAGGATTTTGAGATTTCAATCCAGGCCATTTTCCATCCATTTTCCATCCACTTTAAGATTTTAAGATTTTCAGGTTGCACGTTTTCGGCAAAGTTGGCCCGACTTAGGGGACAACATCCCCAGCATCCCCCGAGACTTTAGGATGTTTTTATATTTTCAGATTTTAAGCTTTAGGAGAGATTTCAATCCAGGCCATTTTCCATCCATTTTCCATCCACTTTAAGATTTTAAGATTTTCAGGTTGCACGTTTTCGGCAAAGTTGGCCCGACTTAGGGGACAACATCCCCAGCATCCCCCGAGACTTTAGGATTGTTAGATTTTAATTTAAGATTTTAAGAATCTAAGACTTTAGGATTTTGAGATTTCAATCCAGGCCATTTTCCATCCATTTTCCATCCACTTTAAGATTTTAAGATTTTCAGGTTGCACGTTTTCGGCAAAGTTGGCCCGACTTCGGGGACAACATCCCCAGCATCCCCCGCATCACTGGCATCATCCGCATCAATGTCCGCCAAGGATGCGGATGATGCAGGTGATGCCGGGGATGTTGTCCACTATGGGCACCCCCCAAAAAACACTCGTTTTTTGATTCTGCGGGGAGATGCTCAAAAAGCCGCCAAAAATCGCCTGAACAAATCCGCAAATCCTTCGCCCCTTATAAGGGTGGGCCCAGCTTGGCGCAGCGCAAAAGTATAGCGCATGGTCGGCGGTGGTCGGCGGCACAGGGCGGCCGGCCCTGTACCTGAAGGTAGGCCCTCCGGGCCTAGGCCTTCGGCCGTATCACGGACCACGGGGTCTGAAGGATTCGGTGGCCGGATTTAAGGGCTCGGCGGGCACGCTGGACCTGTACAGCATGCAGATCAGGGCCTCGGGCCGCCCAGTGCCGCCGACCCCCGGATTTAGTTGTGGTTTTCGAGCAAAAGAAAACAGTGCCCTTGGTTTTGGTTTCTTTGGTTTCTTTTGGGTGAAATGTTAAATTCTCGCCCCGGTCAAATTTTGGTCTTGTTTTTTGGTTTCACTGTAAACTTCAACCCTGCGTACTTGAGTCATGATCAGACCCCACCCCCCTGGATGATGATGGACGACGTCGATGATAATTATCATCGTAGAATCCTCTGCATTGCCAATGCTGTCTAACGTTACTTTTGAAATGCATATAAGAACAAGAAAGAGATGATGATGACCATCAGGATGGTGATGAGAAGAGTGATGATGATGATGATGACGACCATCATCATGATGATGATGAGGAAGATCCTGATGATGACTGTGATGATAACTATCATCGTAGCATCCTTGCATCACCAGTGCTCCCTAATGAGAGATGATGTTGACCGTGATGATACTGATGACAAGGATGAGGACTGTGATGATAATTATCATCGTAGCATCCTCTGCATTGCCAATGCTGTCTAACGTTACTTTTGAAATGCATATAAGAACAAGAAAGAGATGATGATGACCATCAGGATGGTGATGAGAAGAGTGATGATGATGATGATGACGACCATCATCATGATGATGATGAGGAAGATCCTGATGATGACTGTGATGATAACTATCATCGTAGCATCCTTTGCATCACCAGTGCTCCCTAATGAGAGATGATGATGACCGTGATGATAATGATGACAAGGATGAGGACTGTGATGATAATTATCATCGTAGCATCCTCTGCATTGCCAATGCTGTCTAACGTTACTTTTGAAATGCATATAAGAACAAGAAAGAGATGATGATGACCATCAGGATGATGATGAGAAGAGATGATGATGATGATGACGACCATCATCATGATGATGATGAGGAAGATCCTGATGATGACTGTGATGATAACTATCATCGTAGCATCCTTTGCATCACCAGTGCTCAGGATGGATAATGATGATAAGGATGAGGACTGTGATGATCGATAGCATGCATTGCCAAGCTGTCTAACGTTACTTTTGAAATGCATATCAAGAAAGAGATGATGATGATCAGGATGGTGATGAGAAGAGTGATGATGATGATGATGACGACCCATGATGATGATGAGGAAGATCCTGATGATGACTGTGATGATAACTATCATCGTAGCATCCCTTGCATCACCAGTGCTCCCTAATGAGAGATGATGATGACCGTGATGACAATGATGATAAGGATGAGGCCTGTGATGAAAACTCTCATCGTAGCATCCTTTGCATTGCCAATGCTGTCTAACGTTACTGTTGAAACGTATATAAGAACAAGAAAGAGATGCTTGATGAGAAGAGTGATGATGATGATGACGACCATCATCATGATAGTGTGATGATAACTATCATCGTAGCATCCTTTGCATCACCAGTGCTGCCTAATAAGAGATGATGATGACCGTGATGAGATGAGGACTGTGATGATAACTATCATCGTAGCATCCTCTTCATCACCAGTGCCGGCTAATAAGAGATGATGATGATAAGGGTGAGGCCTGTGATGATAACTATCATCGTAGCATCCTCTGCATTGCCAATGCTGTCTAACGTTACTTTTGAAATGCAAATAAGAACAAGAAAGAGATGATGATGACCGTCAGGATGATGCTAATTATCATCACAGTCCTCATCCTTATCATCATTATCATCACGGTCATCATCATCTCTCATTAGGGAGCACTGGTGATGCAAAGGATGCTACGCTGATAGTTATCATCACAGTCCTCATCCTTATCATCATTGTCATCACGGTCATCATCATCTCTGATTAGGCAGCACTGGTGATGCAAAGGATGCTACGATGATAGTTATCATCACAGTCATCAGGATCTTCCTCATCATCATCATGATCATGGTCGTCATCATCATCATCATCACTCTTCTCATCATCGAGGCAGCCTCTGCATTGCCAGTGCTGTCTAACATTACTTTTGAAATGCATATAAGAACAAGAAAGAGATGATGATGACCATCAGTCATCATCAGGATCTTCCTCATCATCATCATGATGATGGTCGTCATCATCATCATCACTCTTCTCATCATCATCCTGTGATGATAACTATCATCGTAGCATCCCTTGCATCACCATGGTGACCGTGATGATAATGATGATAAGGATGCTGCGGCTAGTAAGAGATGATGATGATGACCATGATGATAATGATAAGGATGAGGGCTGTGATGATAACTATCATCGTAGCATCCTCTGCATTGCCAATGCTATCTAACGTTACTTTTGAAATGCATATAAGAACAAGAAAGAGATGATGATGACCATCATGATGATGATGAGAAGAGTGATGATGATGATGATCAGATGCAGCATCGCTCATGATGATCATGATGATCCTGATGATCATCACTACGCATCTCCAGCATCACCAGCAGTTACCGTGATGATATCCTGATGACAATCATCACTATGCATCCCCTGCATGCGCAGCAGCTGTCATATCAATCATGACTAAAATGCATCACTGCATTCCAGGCC